ACAGTTCTTTTATGGATTGCATGACCTCCTCTGTCTTTAGAGTGTATATTATAGGATTTAACATAGATGGTATTACCTGTCTCAAAGAATTGTTAATTATTCGGGTGTTTGGATCAATAGATGTTGTTAAGGCTGCAATATTATTGCTTATAAGTGGAAGATATCCGATAGCCACCAACATGAGATGAGAGGTGCAGGTTTTCATGGCCTTGATCCGGTCAGCTCCATGAGCAATCTTAAGCAGAGCCAGAGCAATGCAGAAATATGAGATGATGATCAGTATGAGTGGTGTGCACATGAGGAGACCAAAGCTAATTTTTCCCATCATAATATTTATAGAATTATCATTACAAGCTAGTTTATAGATAAGACCTTGATCACAAAAATGACTATCAATCACATTAGATCCACAAAACGAGAGTCTATTCACCAAACCTACAAGTACAGAAAAATATGTCACAGAAAAAATCCACATCACCCCTATGATCATAAACATGGCTGGTTTGGTTACAATGGCATGATACCGTAGAGGAAAACAAATAGCAACCAGCCTGTCATAAGCCAAAGCAAGTAGTGTCAAAGACTGCATGTTCATGAAATGATATACAAAAAACATATTTGCCAAGCATGCTTCATATGAAACAACCTGGTGCCCAAATAAAAATGTGTCCATGACTTTTGGAATCAAAGCCGAGCTTCCACACAGATCAGAAAGGGCCAGATGAAAAACAGCAATGTATTTGGCTGTGTGAAGTCTGCGGGCCAAATAAATGATACACATGATAAATGAATTCCCCAAAACAGTCACAACATACACTAAAGACAAGAACATATAGTAGTATTTCACATGTGGAACATTAGAAAATCCATTGATGAAAAATGTAGCAGGACGAACAAAGGTCACATTTGCAGAGGAGTTTGACTGCATGGAGCTCATGATTCCTGTTGTCTGGCTTTTTCGTGTCTCCTTTGACGAAGAACTGTTATAGAAATAGACTAAATAACAGAGGATATTCAAGTAATCATTTCATTTCCAGTCATAGTGCTTTTTAGACAAAATGCTTGGGATTTCTTTGATATAATAATTTTTCCCAAATAATAAAACTGTCACTGCAGTAAAACGATTAGAGAGAAACAAAGGAAACACATACTCTACCTTCTCCAAAGCTGCCAGAATGGCATTACTATACAAGCCATCAGACAGATTGATATTTATATTCATAGCTTGGGCTTGGGACTTTAGTTGATGGAGCAACGCTTCTCCCTATAGACTTGCACAAGAAGGGGCAGGAGTAAATCAATGTAAGCGTGTAAGCCATTATCTAGAAAAAATGTTTTTTAATGTATACATATACAACTTCAGATATACATACACACACACATAAATATTAAGATATACTGTATATACAACATTAAGATAGAATAAACTGACTACAGTTATTGTTTGTTTGTGGGTCTTTCTGCCTTTAGTTTTGTCGGGTTGAGATCAGGAGATTGACTTGGCCATTGCAGAATATTCCACTTTTCTACCTTCAAAACCTCCTGGGTTGCTTTTGCTGTATGATTTGGGTCATCATCCATTTGTACTATGAAGCGCCGCCCAATCAGCTTTGCTCTATTTGGCTGAATGCAGACAGTATATCCGTATACACTTCAGAATTCCTCCAGCTGCTTCTGTCTTCTGTCACATCATCACTAAACACCAGTAACCCAGTGCCTCTGGAAGCCATGCATGCTCATGCCATCACACTGCTGCACCATGTTTCACAGACAATGTTGTATGCTTTGGATCATGAGCTGTTCAAAGCCTTCTCAATACTTTTTTTCATCCTGTCATTCTGGTACAGGTTGATCTTAATTTCATCCAAAGAATGCATTTCCAGAAGTGGTCTGGCTTTTTTAGATGTTTTTTGGCAAAGTCTAATCTGGCCTTGTTTGCATCTTGCTGGTGAACCCTCTGTATTTGTTCTCGTGAAGTTTTCTCTTGATTGTAGACTTTGACTGTGACACACCTACCTCCTGGAGAGTGTTTTTCACTTGACTGGATGTTGTAAAAGGGTTTTTCTTTACCATGGAGAGAATTATTTGATCATCCACCACTGTTGTCCTCCGTGGATGTCCAGGACTTTTTATGTTGCTGAGCTCACCAGCGCGTTCTTCTTTTTTTCAGAATGTACCAAACTGTTGATTTGGCCACTCCTAATGTTCCTGCTATCTCTCTGATGGATTTTTTTGTTTTGTTTTTTGTTTTTGAAGCCTAACAAATGTCTGTTTCACTTGCATGGAGAGCTCCTTTGACTGCATGATGTGGGTTTACAGCAACAGCTTCCAAATGCAAATGGAACACTTAGAATCAACTCCAGACCTTTTACCTGCTTAATTGATGTAGAAATAACGAAGGAATAGCCTACATCTGTCCATGAAATGGCTTTTGAGTCAACTGTCCAGTGTCCAATTACGTATGGTCCCTTGAAAAAGGGGGGAGGTGCATATTAAAGAGTTGTAATTCATTAACCATTCCTCCAGTTGTGATGAGAATACCCTCAAATTAAAGCTCAGAGTGTGCACTTTATGCCCATATTCATTATATAACTGTAACTGTTTGTCATAGCGTTTGACTAAATTAATTTAGTTTAATAAACAAGCCCTAATATAATGATTTAAAATTTCAGTTCAATAATGTTGACAATTCGTTTTATGCAGTATTTTTGTAAGGTGGATGTGCACATGCTTACTTTGTGAAGGTTGTGAAGCTGAGTGGAGATTCCCTCGCTTTCAGGATGGGCACTTATGCTAAAATATAAATACTTCTGTGAATGCATATTATTCAAAAAATAATGATATCTCAGTCAAATGTAAGTTATGGGCTCAGGAAAAGCAGGCTAACCCATATAAAACCATGTGAGTGTCTCTGAAGTTTTAAATAAATATCTCTCATTTTGTTGACAGCTTGAGCTGTGCACTTCTTGAGCAGTGCCATCACTAGTGGACGTTCTCCATGCATTACGCACAGACCAGGGTAGTTTATATTAGAATTCACTGTAGAGCATTTACATGACAATTTTTTTATCTGTTTTATGGATTGGTTGTTGCAGTACTAAAATATTGTCTTGCTGTCTTGTGTTGTTCACTGTGTGGGGGCTATATATGTAGAACGTTGTTATATGGCATTAGTTCACAGAAGTATATGCCTGCATTACATGATCTGATCTCAAGAAAAAAAACTGATACCCTGGAAGTTAGTATTAAATTCACAAACTGTCTGATGATTTTTTTAAGATGTCTGTTGATAAGGATAACAGTAATGATGCAGAAGCATTTTTTAAATTTTTATATTGACAGCAAATGTAAATGTTCTTTCAATTGACTTGTTAAACTTAAAGCACTGAAAGAAAATGTGACTTTTAAAAATCTTTATTTTTATTTAGTTTTATTTTTTTTGGCTCTGGACTTATTGTTTGTACACTGTTTTGAATAAAGGAAGCAATAACAAAGAAACTTTAATATATTTCATTTTTCAACATATTTTGTCTATTTATAATACCATTGCTGCTACAACATCAGACTGTACAAAATTAATCTGTTAAATAAGAAATTTGTTAAATGATCACAGCTGATGAAACAACTAATCAAATATCTGCAGTCAAAGAGTTTCTTTTAAGCAGGTAATTACACACCAATCAACACACCGTCAACAACAGTCAACACCAATAATACACCGATCAGAAGACATGAGATTAAACCTGTAAATATTTTCACTTTTTCCAACTGCATTTTAT